AAAACTATACCCCATATTGGAGCACCGTTCAAGTCCTGGCTGATCTGCTTCCAATCCCGCTTCCTGCTAATGTGCCTGAGAATGCAGTAGAGAATGGCCAAAGCCCTTGGGGCCCTGCTACCCACGTGGGAGTGAACCAGTGGATGAAAGAGTCTCTCTCTCTTTCTCTCTCTCCCCTCATCTCCCTCTCTGTTACTCTACCCTCTCTGTCACTCTGCTTTTCAATACTATTTTTTAAAAGCTTTATTGTAAACACTCTCATCAAGACTTCACACATCACCCAAATGAAACTGCTTCTTTTCACCCACAAATGGAGAAACCATGAATAATGGGGACTGATAACAGATCTATCATGGAAAAGAAGACACGCAGAGAACAGCATAAAAATGTCCTTTCTCCCGTAGGCACTGGAAGTCGTTGCCTTAAGTGACAAGTGCCTTATAGACCTTAGTGCCGTAGAACTTGGAACTATTTTAGTTGACTCAGTTGTGTATCTGTGAGGCTTTGGCAGATCGGAGTGAGGAGGACAGGAAAGAAGAGTGTTGAGTGTATGTGAGGAGCCCTCGGTGCAAAACACTCATGTGGCTTGATGTGCACTTGTTCAGAGCAGCAGTGTGTGTAGTGAGCCCTGTGAATGCATGCGGGGCTCCTGGATGTCCAGGACTGGGGGCGGGGCCACATTCTGGAAAACTAACTGCACTCCACAAGTTGAGCTTTTATCTTAGAGATAGTCACATCTCTGTAGACACTGAAATAACACAATCTGCTAAATAGCCAACTCAGGTAACTCGCTTCTTGATGATGTGATTAATCTTATTTGCATAATTAAATAGTTTTTTAAGGGAATTAAGTTGACAGGAGCCCAAGTACTTGGACAATCTTCCATTGCTTCCTAAACACATTAGCAGAGAGCTGGATCATAATGGAATAGGGGGTCTGTGCTGTGCGCAGCGGGGGTAAAGCTCCTAGCCTGCAGTGCCAGCATCCCATAGTGGGTGTCAGTCAAATCCCAGCTGCTCCACTTCTGATCCAGCTGTCTGCTATGGCCTGGGAAAGCAAGTAGAAGATGGCCCAAGTTCTTGGCCCCGTATCCGTGTTGGAGACCTGGAAGAAGCTCCTGGCTCCTGGCTTCAGATCAGCTCAGCTCTGCAGTAATTTGGGGAGCGAACCTGTGGATGAAGACCTCTTTCTCTCTCTCTCTGGCTCTACCTCTCTCTGTAACTCTTTGAATAAATAAAATTTTAAAGAAGAAAGAGGAGGAGGAGGAGGAGGAGGTAGAGGAGAGGAGAATGAGAAGGAGAGGAGAAGAAGTGGGATTCAATCTGTGCTCTGGTATCGATGCCAGCGTTGCAAGTACCGGCTTAACCCACTGTGTCACAACACTGGCCCCAAGCCAGTGGTTTATACAATCCAATGAAAATGTTTTCCTTTACTAAAAAAGGTCAGGGGAAAATGTGATGACTTTTCCATCTGTTCCCAACAATACAAGGCTGTCTGTGTCCTTCCATAGCTAAACCATGTAAACATGCGACCAAGCTGTGCGTCTTACCAGAAAGTGGCCACAAAGGTCAACCACAGGCCAGCCCAGAGAAGGGACCTCCTGGGACAGATGTCACCTTCCCTCACTTTGTCCACTATGCAGTGGCCATCCACTGCGTATGCTCAGTGGTGTTTTATTTTTGATCTTCAAGATGTGTTTATGTCTAGAAAGGGAATCAAGCAAGATCTCTATTCATTTGTTTCTTAACTATGATGGGAGCAGAGGTTCTCAGGCTAAGAGAACCAGTTCTCCCTGCACCAGGGCAGAATCTGCCTCTTCCATCTCCTTCCACTCAGCGCACAGCACTGGGAATGGCGAGAGGGGCTCGACCAAGTGTGTGCTAAGCACAGCCTGGCCCAGGGAGGCCCAGAACACCCTAGACAATGGCAGCAAGCAGCCATGACTGTGGAATGTGGAGGGTGTGCTGTACTCTGTATTTAAAGACACTGCTGTTTTGGAAAACCGTTCATTCCTTTATTATCTGTGTCTTGTTTTGTTCAAAAAGTATTTGAGAGACTGAAGAAAGGTTTTAAAGTGCATGACGGGGTGGGCACCGGGTTCTAGTCCCGGTTGCTCCTCTTCCAGTCCAGCTCTCTGCTGTGGCCCAGGAAGGCAGTGGAGGATGGCCCAAGTGCTTGGGCCCTGCACCCGCATGGGAGACCTGGAGGAGGCACCTGGCTCCTGGTTTTGGATTGTCGCAGCGCCGGCCGTAGCAGCCATTTGTGGGTGAACCAATGGAAGGAAGACCTTTCTCTCTATCTCTCTCTCTCACTGTCTATAAATCAACCTGTCAAAAAAAAAAAGTGCATGATGGGGATGAGTGTTTGGCCCAGCAGTTAAGACACACTTATTCAACACTGGAGACCCGGGTTCAATACCCAGCCCTGGCTCCTGACTTCAGCTTCCTGCTAAAGCAGACTGCAGGAGGCAGTGTGGATGGTTCAAGTATTTCAGTCCCTGCAGCCTACAAGGGAGACCTGGACTGGGTCCCTGGCTCTTGGCTTCAGCCTTAGTTATAGGCATCTGGGGAGTGAACCAGAAGATGAGCTTGCTCTCTCTCTCTCTCTCTCTCTCTCTCACACACACACACACACACACAAATAATTTTTTAAAGTGCCTGACTTATTGTGACTTCTAAAAATATTTATAGGGGGCTGGGCTAAGCTGCTGCCTGCAATGCCATCATGCCAGTTCGTGTCCCAGCTGCTCAAGTTCCAATCCAGTTCCCTGCTAATGGCCTGGGAAAAGCAGAAGATGGCCCAAGTATTTGGGTCCTGAACTCATATAGGAGACCAGGATTACGCTCCTAGCTCCTGTCTTCAGCCTGGTTCAGCCCTGGATTTCCTGGCCATCAGTGGACCAGTGGATAGAAGACCTCTTTCTCTCCCTCTCTCTCTCTCTCTCTTACTCGCTCTCTGTCTCTCCCTCTGTTCATAGCTGTGCCTTTCAAATAAATAAATATTTAAATATATATTTATAAAATTTTCTTATTAAGAGATACAAAATATATGATCTTGGATCAAAGGGATTACTTTTCAGGCTCAGGTTTTTTGTTTTTTCTGGGTTTTTTAAAGATTTATTTGGCTGGCGCCGTGGCTCAATAGGCTAATCCTCTGCCTGCAGTGCCGGCACACCAGGTTCTAGTCCCGGTCGGAGTGCCAGATTCTGTCCCGGTTGCTCCTCTTCCTGTCCAGCTCTCTGCTGTGGCCCGGGAGTGCAGTGGAGGATGGCCCAAGTGCTTGGGCCCTGCACCCCCATGGGAGACCAGGAGAAGCACCAGGCTCCTGGCTTCAGATCAGTGCGGTGCGCCGGCCGCACCGGCCACAGCGGCCATTGAAGGGTGAACCAATGGAAAAGGAAGACCTTTCTCTCTGTCTCTCTCTCTCACTGTCCACTCTGCCTGTCAAAAAAAAAAAAAAAGATGGATTTAATTGAGAGGTAGAGTTACAGACATAGAGAGGGAAAGACAGAGAGAGAGGTCTTCCATGTGCTGGTTCACCCCCCAAATGATCACAAAGGACAGAGTTGCGCCAATCCGAAGCCAGGAACCTGGAGCTTCCTCAGGGTCTCCCACTTGGGTACAGGGGCCAGAGCACTTGAGCCATCTTCCACTGCTTTTCCTGGCCACAGCAGAGAGCTGGATTGGAAGAGGAGCAGCTGGGACACAAACCGGCTCAGCATGCTGCGCCACAGCACCGGCCCCGAAATTGCTGCTTTCAAGGCAGAGTAGTCACTGCATCTGTGCTCCGGGCTGAGAGGAGAGTGCACCCAGCAGGCCAGGTCTCCGGCCTATACTGCAGCTCTGTCCACTGCTTCTTCCAAGGTCACAGCCACTCCCAGAACAGATCCCAGGTATTGCAGATCAGGGCTACACCCTTGGCTGACTGGGTACCTGCTTCACAATGGCCTTGCCTTCCAACCATCATCTACTGGCAGTCAGAACCAGGCATGACAAACAGTGACGTGACATGCTCAGTCCCATGCTGCAAAACCCTGCAGAGTAACATTGTGGCCCCGCACCAGGGCCTACAGTGACCTGTGTGAGGAGGGCCCTGAGTGCACCTTGGCCTGGAGGTCTGACATTGTGCCCTGAGCACGCCTTCAGACTTGCAAGCAATACAGTGTCCCCATGCACTGGGCTCCAGTCGCATCAGCCCTGCATGAAGCCCCCCCCTCCAGAGGGCTCAGCTGTATCCTCATGAGGCATGCTGATCACTCAGCCAAGAATTCTGGGGATGCCAGTGTGGCGATGGCAGCTGCTTCTCATCCATGAGGTTGAGTTGAAATGCTGTCATCTCAGGTCCTCTCCTATGATGCTTCTCCACACTGTCCTGGCTTCTTCTCCAGGAGGTGCCCTGTCTCTCTTCTTATCTCAAACCCTAATCACAACCTGCACTTCCCTCTCTCTTATTCGTCACCTGTCTGTAAGCTCCCTACCTGTCCTGTTCTTGATTGTATTCTCTGTGGGGGCACAGTGAAGAATGGGCCCTCCATGAACACCTTTTGGATCAATAAAGAGTCAAAACAGTTGCAAAACAAAAAGAAAAGGGCCGGCACTGTGCCTTAGCAGGTAGTGCCGACATCCCATATGGGTGCCAGTTTGTCCTGGATGTTCCACTTCCAAACCAGCTCTCTGCTATGGCCTGGGAAAGCAGTGGAAGATGGCCCAAATCCTTGGGCCCCTGCACCTATGTGGGAGACCCAGAAGAAGCTCCTGTCTCCTGGCTTTGAACTAGCCCAGATCCATCCATTGCAGCCATGGGGGGAGTGAACCAGCAGATGGAAGCTCTCTCTCTCTCACTCTCACTCTCTAACTCTGCCTTTCAAATAAATAAATATAACCTTTAAAAAAAAAGTCACCTTTTATAGTAAGGGATAGTGAAAATACACTTTATGATACTCAGGAGAGGAAGTGGTGGCTATACACTTGGTATTAGACCCCAATAATCAATTGCTGAGTTAGAAGAGAGGCAGAGGCACTGCTTCTGCCTCCCCCAGCCTCTCTTGAGCTCCACAGGATCATGGATCAGCAGGGTGTGATTGACAACTTCCAATGATGCGATTTCCTCATCTTGGGCGTCCACCTCGGGAGAAAAGAGCTCTCCTGGTCTGCATCCAGCACCATGGATTGCTGAGTCAGCGTCAAATGCAGGGCGGCGTTTTACTGAAGCCAGTTCTTAATTTCAGGGATGCCACAATGCCAGTAGTCTCAATCACTCCAGCAGGTCATTCAGGAATCATAGAGTTATAGCTGTTCAAGCTATTGAAGAAGTGCAACCACTTAGTTGGAGGGAGAACAGATTCAAGACCAGAGCCTTGGAGCCAGGCAGCTCCAGGCGGTGGGTTAAAGCAGGAAGCAGCAAAGCAGACCAAGAGCTGTCAGGGACAAAGGACCGTAAAGGCAGGGGCTGAAACCATCACGCAAAGAAAGGCGTCAGGCAGATCCAGTGTTACAGAGGGCCAACGCCAGCCACACTGAGGACTGACCGCTGGATCTGGTAACGTGTAGGTCCTTGGTGACCCAGAAAGAATAAGTGTGGTGGGATGGCAGCAAGAAACGCCTGTTTAGAGGACTGTAGTAGATGGAGTGGCCTCCCAAAAGAACCTCCAGTCCTCACCCTATGTCCTGTGACCGTGTCGCTGGGCAGGAGAGCCTTAGCAGGTGTCACTGATGTCACGGCCATGGGCCTTCCCAGAGGCACCCCCACACCAGTGGGCCCAGTCTGATGGCAGGAGTCAGAGAACTTAATCTGGGCTGAGTGAGAGAGGGGACACAGAAGGGCAGGTCAGAGAGAGCTGAGGGGGCGAGAGAGAGATGGAGCCCATGACTGTAGACAGGAGCCACATGGAAACATGGCACCAGCCCGCAGGTGACAGACAGCAAGGAAAGGGGGTCCTCAGTACTACACCCTTGAGGAACAGAGTTCAGCCCAAAATCTGGATGAACTCAGCAGCCGCCTCCTCCCCAGAGTCTGTAGTACAGGGATGCAGCCATGCCCACACCTGAGCAGGCTTACGGGACCCTACGCAAGGCCGCCCGGCCAGGACCACTTCCACTCCTACCCTGCACAGCTCTAACGTAGGGAATTCCTGTTGCATTATGCCGCAGGATTCATGGTGCTTTGTTACAGCTGCATTTTTGTAAGTAATTGTGAGGAGCGTGTGGTGGCACGGCAGTTTAAGCCTTTGCTTGGGATGCCCACACCCCACGTCAGGAGTGCCCAGTTGAGTCCCAGAGGCTCCACTTCTGATCCAGCTCCCTGCTATTGCTGCACTGGGTGATGCTCTCAAGTAGTTGAGTTCCACCCACAGGGGAGACCCACGATGGAGTTCCAGGCTCCTGGCTTCAGCCTGGACAAGCCCTGGCTGCTGTGGCCATTTGGGGAGTGAACCACAGGATGGAGGATTTCTTACTGTTTCTCATTCTCTCTCTCTCTCTCTCTCTCTCTCTCTCTGTAACTCTGCCTCTCAAATATGTAATTTTAAAAAAAAGTGTTGCTTAAGTTTCACATACTTTTTAATTTCCTCGATTTTTTACTGCTACTGGTTTTTCATTTTACTCTGTGTTGGAAATGAACTTTATACGTTTCTATCTTTTAAATTTGTTACAGCTTTTAATAATTCTCTCTAGGCTTAGTTGAGTCTATGGTCTACAGGATGTTGTATTTGCACTTGATAAGAAGGTATATTCTGCCGTTGTTGGATGAAGTGTTCCAGAGATGTCTGTTAGATATAATCGGTTTATAGTGTTGCTCTGACCTTCCACTTCCTTGTTGACCTTTGGTCGAATTTTTCTGTACGTTTCTGAAAGCAGGTTGTGGAAATCTCCAGCCATTTTGGTCGACTTGTCTATTTCTCCCTTCATTTTGTCAGTGCTGTTCCATGTATCTTGGTCCTTTGCCATTGGCTGGATATTTATCTGGGACTGTTATATATTTTTGACAGTATTAAGTGTCCCTGTTTCTCTCTAGTAACATTTTCGTGTTGTTTATCTTGCCTGATAGCACAGCAGCCACTCCAGCATTCTTGTGGTTGCTACTTTTTTTTTTTTCATTCTAAAAGGCCCAATGCACGTCTCTTTCTGCTAAGTCCAACATCTGAGCCCTCTCACAGGCAGTTTCCTGGCCTGCTTTTTCCTCCCAGTGTGTGGGTCATGCCTTCCTGGATTTTTTGCTTACTTTTTTTTTTTTTTGAAAAGACATTGTAGATCGTAGCAATGCTGGGTGTGATTCTCCTCTCTCGAAGACTGGTTGGTTTTTATCTTCTCATTTATTTGCTTAGTGATCAGCTTAATATTTTAATAAAGTCTGTTTCCTCCCTGCACCTCTTGATTTTGCTCCTCAGAGAGGCTCAGCTTTTTCCATGTCTGCAGACATTCAGGACAGCAGTGCATGGGGAGGGCTCTCTTCCTCTCTTCCCCTAAACACACCCAGCTCTTGAACTCCATGAACCACTGGCTGGTTGCGTTATCATTTCCTACAATGTCCTGAGTTATAAATTTTGTGCCCCACAAAACTAATCCAGTCAATAACGGCTCTCTTGAAGGGACATTGCGTGACACCCACCGCGCGTGCTGTCTCTTTTTTGACATTTCAGCTTCTTTTGATGTGATAGAAATAGGCAGGAAGTTTGTTTAGGATTGCTGAGATGCAGGTCACAAGCCCCTGTGTGTAATTCTATCCTCTCACTTGTCAATCCAGACACCCCCTTTCCTGGGATGTTGCTGCTTCATCCGGGACCTGTCAATATTTATAATGAGCTCCATGTGGAACTTGTGGAGGTGCCGTATAATTCATTCCCAGGTAGCTCCACGCCTGGAAAGGCACTGCCCCAAGCTCGTAAGAGACCATAAGAAGGGAGGGGGTCTCTCTTCCACCACAGACTATGGCTGGAGGGACTGCCTGGAGCCCTGTCTTCCTTCTCCCACCCATTCTCTTCGCAGGCAAATCTGGCCCACTGTCTACTCATGACTGCGACTGATTTCTCTACATGGAGCAACCCATGCTCACATGTGTGTGTGTGTCCACTTTCTCATCTTCTAAATAAACTTTATCTGATTGTGCTTTTTATTTATGTCAGTACTTAGAATGTGTATCTTTGTACATGACCAGAGTCAAAAAAAAACAATACCTCATTACCTACATCACTCTTATCTGTATTATTCACAATTCTCTCTTGCAGACTGGCTGGCCCTACAGTTTGGCCTGATCATGACTCTGTCCCTAATTGCCTTTCCCCACAATCCCCATGGTTCTCCAGAGCACCTAAAAGCATGTGTGCCTTCATTCTCCATTGCCAATGAGGTCGATTCCTTTGGGAATCGACTGGGAGACATCTGTTTAAGATGTCTGTTTCTATCATCCCAGGCAAAGTCTCTCTCTTCAGTGCCCTGGGGCTGAGGCTAGACATAGTGGTCTGGACGAAATGAGGGCAGTTGCTTGGGGTCCCCAGAACCAGCAAGGGTCCCAGTATGTGCTGTGAAACTGCACCCAAGTCAGAGTCTTCAGTCCATGTGTAGAGGCCTTGCAAAAAAGGTTGCCTCCACCTCTTGGCTATAGCACCTTGAACACAGGTGCTAGATCAGGATGCTAGCATCCCATATGGACACCGGTTCGAGCCCTGGCTGCTCTGCTTCCAATCCAGCTCCCTGCTAATGCATCTGGGAAAGCAGCAGAAAATGGCCCAAGTGCTTGGGCCCCTGCACCCATGTGGGAGACCCGGAGGAATCTCCTGCCTCCTGGCCCAGCTCCAACAATTTGCAGCCATCTGGGGAGTGAACCAGAGGACAGAAGATCTCTCTCTCTCTTTTTTTTCTCTGTCTTTCTCTGTCTCTCTCTCCTTATCTCTCTTTCTCCCTCCCTCCCTCCTTCCCTCTCTCTGTACCTCTGCCTTTCAAATAAATACATCTTTAAAAAATAATAATAAGGGGCGGAGACAAGATGGCAGAATAGTGAGGGCACACACCGATAGTCCAGGAAATGATATTTAATAAAAGTTGAATTACTGTAGCCTCAGGAAAAGGCTCAGGAAAAAATTGCAGAGGAAATTCTTCTGGATCTAGTGGAAGTGACATGGAGGACCTACGGGGAGAGCAAGGTCCCCACCACGTGGAAGCCGAGCCGCCGCGGGAGCCGAGCCACGTGAGTCGCAGAGTGTGCATGCCAGTGCGGGAAGGGGAGGTGAGACAAAAAGCCTCAGTAACCCAAGACATTGGCGGGGAAAGGCAGAAAGAGCCCACAGGGAATGAGGCCTGAAGCCCCACTGGGGAAAGTTCACCAGGCTGACTGGGAGGAGAGAAAAAATGAACAAATAAGGGGAACCGGCACGGACATTAACCTCTCTCTCCACTCACCTTAGAAAGCTGAGCAAGACAAAGAGCAGGCGCCATTTTACATATGTAGAGAGGTGCCTGCCATTAGCCAAGCAGAAAAACCTGACTCTGGTTGGGAGAAATAACAGGAGGTTAAGACCTAGTTAGTGAAAGTGTGGAGCTAATGAACTGAGACTGTGAAAATCTGACGGGAGGAGAGAGAACTCACCGAGTACACAAACTCGGTAACTTGTGCAAACTGGTAAGAGACTGCAGAGAAATTTGAGACCACACTGAGGGCTCCATAAACTCTGTGTGTGCTCCCAGGGGTAAGCAGACAAATACCCACAGGGGCCAGATTTAATACATCAACTACCCTCAATCACACTCAGCTGTGTGGAATTACTTCCCAACTGAGTCAGAAAAAAAAGAGAGAGAGAGAGAGAGAGCAAGCGAGTGAGAGAACAATCTGGGTGGATCACCTTTGGCACACCCTTAACCCTGAAGAACCAAACAGAGCTCTCTGGCCACATCCATTACCGCCTCTAAGGATCCATCAAAAGCAGACAGTCCACTGAATCTAGAGTCACAGTACAATGAGAAAAAGCACCACAGCAAAGAATCCAAAGAATATCTCCAATATGACAAACAACAAACGCAGAAACTGAGGTAACAAGAACAAGGAAGACACTATGATGCCCCCAAATGAAATAGACACCCCAATTCAAGATTATGAAGATGATGAGATAGAAGAAATGCAAGATACAGATCACAAAAAAATTGATAAGAACATTAAGAAGTTCTCAAGAACAAATTCTCGAACTACAGAAATCCTTAATGGACAAGATAGAAAATCTCTCTTGTGAAAATGAAATATTAAGGAGGAATCAAAATGAAATGAAACAACTAGTAGAACATGAAACTGTGATAGTGACGAGAAATAATGAAATGAAGAATTCAATAGATTAAATGAGAAACACATTAGAGAGCCTTAAAAACAGAACGAGTGAAGCAGAAGAGAGAATATCGGACTTAGAAGACAGAGAACAGGAAAATATAAAGAAAAGAAGAGGAAATTAGAAATCTAAAACATATTGTCGAGAATCTTCAAGATACTATTAAAAAACCCAACATTCAGGTTCTAGGAGTTCCTGAAGGCATGGAGAGAGAGAAAGGATTAGAAGGCCTTTTTAGTGAGCTACTAGCAGAGAACTTCCCAGGTTTGGAGAAGGACAGAGACATCCTAGTACAGGAAGCTCATAGAACCCCTAGTAAACGTGACCAAAAGAGATCCTCATGATGACACATTGTAATCAAACTCACCACAGTGAAACATAAAGAAAAGATCCTAAAATGTGCAAGAGAGAAACATCAGATTACTCTCAGAGGATCTCCAATCAGACTCACAGCTAACTTCTCATCAGAAACCCTACAAGCTAGGAGTGAATGGCGAGATAGAGCCCAGGTACTAAGAGAGAAAAAGTGCCAGCCCAGAATATTATATCCTGCTAAGCTCTCATTTGTGAATGAAGGTGAAATAAAGACCTTTCACAGCAAACAGAAATTGAAAGAATTTGTCGCCACTCGTCCAGCCCTGCAAAAGATGCTTAAAGATGTGCTACACAGAGAAACACAGAAACACGGTCATCAATGTGAAAGAAGGTAAACGAAGGAAACCTCACAGCAAAAGATCACAGGAAGTTCAAAACATATATTAGAAGATATCCTTGGGAAATGGCAGGGCAAAGTTACTACTTATCAATAGTCACATTGAACGTTAATGGCCTGAACTGTCCAGTTAAAAGACACAGATTGGCTGACTGGGTTAAGGAACAAAACCCATCTATTTGCTGCTTACAAGAAACACATCTTTCCAACAAAGATGCATGCAGACTGAAAGTGAAAGGCTGGAAAAAGATATACCATGCCAACAGAAATGAAAAAAGAGCAGCTGTAGCCATCTTAATATCTGACAACATAAACTTTACCACAAAATCTGTTAGGAGAGACAAAGAGGGGCACTATATAATGATTAAGGGATCAATTCAACAGGAAGATATAACGATTATCAATGTATATGCACCTAATTACAGGGCACCGGTTTATTTAAAAGATTTGTTAAGGGACTTAAAGGGAGACTTAGACCCCAATACAATAGTACTGGGGGACTTCAATACTCCACTCTCAGAAATAGACAGATCAACAGGACAGAAGATCAACAAGGAGACAGTAGATTTAAATGACACTATAGCCCAAATGGATCTAACAGATATCTACAGAACTTTTCATCCTACACATAAAGCATTTACATTCTTCTCAGCAGTACATGGAACCTTCTCTAGGATTGACCACATACTAGGCATAAAGCAAGTCTCAACAAATTCCAAAGAATTAGAATCATACCATGCAGCTTCTCAGACCATAGTGGAATGAAGGTGGAATTAGCAACTCAGGAATCCCTAGAGCATATGCAAACACATGGAGATTGAACAACATGCTACTGAATGAACACTGGGTCATAGAAGAAATCAAAAGAGAAATCAAAAATTTTCTGGAAGTAAATGAGGATAACAGCACAACATACCAAAACTTATGGGATACAGCAAAAGCAGTGTTAAGAGGAAAGTTTATAGCACTAGGTGCCTACATCAAGAAATTGGAAAGGCACCAAATAAATGAGCTTTCAATGCATCTCAAGGATCTAGAAAATCTGCAGCAAACCAGACCCAAATCTAGTAGGAGAAGAGAAATAATTAAAATCAGAGAAGAAATAAACAGGATTGAATAAAAAAATTACAAAAAATAAGCCAAATGAGGAGCTGGTTTCTTGATAAAATAAACAAAATTGACACCCCATTGGCCCTACTAAAAAAAGAAGAGAAAAGACCCAAATCAATAAAATCAGAGATGAAAAAGGAAACATAACAACAGATCCCACAGAAATAAAAAGAATCATGAGAAATTACTACAAGGACCTGTATGCCAGCAAACAGAGAAACCTATCAGAAATGGATAGATTCCTGGACACATGCAACCTACCTAAATTGAACCAGGAAGACATAGAAAACCTAAACAGACCCATAACTGAGACAGAAATTGAAACAGTAATAAATGCCCTCCTAACAAAGAAAAGCCCAGGACCAGATGGATTCACTGCTGAATTCTATCAGACATTTAAAGAAGAACTAACTCCAATTCTTCTCAAACTATTCAGAACAATCGAAAAACAGGGAATCTTCCCAAATTCTTTCTATGAAGCCAACATCACCTTAATTCCTAAGCCGGAAAAAGATGCAGCATTGAAAGAGAATTACAGACCAATATCCCTGATGAACATAGATGCGAAAATCCTCAATAAAATTCTCGCCAATAGAATGCAACAACACATCAGAAAGATCATCCACCCAGACCAAGTGGGATTTATCCCTG